TTATCGTTATCACGCGATATATGTCCCACAATTGGTGTTTCGCTATGCCAATGTTGCGCACCCCTGTTCTAGGCTTCTTGCACGCGTCTTCGCGATCGATCTTGGCGTTGATTACTCTTACCGCTCCGAATAGTCCGCCGAGAGAGAGAGAGTCGATCAAGAAGCGGATATTAAACGGATTATGCGCTTCTTCAACAAACGTTACGATCGTCCGCGAGGGAACAAGTTTGCTGGGAAAAAGAGGGTGATTCCGATCGATGTTGTAAAGAAGCGTCGCAAGATTAATCACACGGAGGGATGATAGTGGGCGGATGTGCGTCATCGATTCTATTACGTTATCGATGCGATGCATCGGTACGGCGGAGGGGGGGGGGGACCGCTCTCCTGCGAAATTATACGGCGGGCCCCGACGGATCGCTCGCTAACGGAGGGGCTCTCTTCCGGCTAATTGAATCATGCTACCCAATTTCCCGCATCGCCGATAGAAGGGAGCGCGCGAGATGGGACGATTCCGGAATGAAGGTCGGCGGCGAGCAAGCTCTCGTCACGCCCACAAGTTTTCTCCAAAGACCCCCTTTCGAGAAGGCTATTCTGGACCATCGATCTCGACGCTGGATACCGCGCGGACATTAATTAAAAAATGGAGGAGCGAAAATATATGCGCCACGTCCCGCCGTTGAAACCGTCCGCTTATAAAACCGCTGATCTCATAGAATTATTATTTCTGATAATACTACATATATACATTGCGAAAGAGAGAGAAAGAGCGTTTCATGCGCTGACGAACCTTCAGATCTCTATCTTCATATTCCGCGAGTTAATAATTAGCTACTCGCCTTCGGCCATAATCTATAGATAATAATCGAATCTCCGTAATTTGCATTCTGTTTATACGTAGGAACCTTCTGTTTCTTGTCACTCGTAAGAAAGTAAGACTCTCGTCTTGCGCTCGCGGTGGATCTGGGACGCGTTGTATGACCTCAACAGTGATAGTAAAAACACAATAATGCAAGGCGCTATGATGCCTCTCTCGATAATACATACGTATCAATTGAGCGCTCAAGGAATCGATTAATATGTGTCTTCGCGAGAGAAAGAAACACATTGGCGATTCAATGTTGCAGACACATTACGTTATAAATAGAAGATAGATAAATACTTCATTACATTCTTGCTGTGGCAGGTAATATTAGTAGCAATTATTTGAAAAAAATTATAAAACAGAATTTAATGGTATATAAACTCGTTTAAACATTATGACTTTTTATAAATTTTTGAATAATAATAAAACATTATTCCGTAATATAGGATGATACTCCTTCAAAGGCAAAATGAAAATGAAGTATAGCAAAGGAAGATATACTATCTTTTGCAAGTAATTATATACCAATATAATTATAATCCGAGTATTTCGCGATTCGTGACTTTACAATTTCCCGACATGATGCGATCGGAATCGACAAAGGTAATAGATATGCCCGAACGATTGCCGATTGTGAAAGATCCGCGACGTTATCCAGCTGTATCGCCGAAGCGCGGATTGCAAAAACGCGGTGTCCTTGGTATCATCGAACATATACCCGTCGTGTCCTTCGAGGCCCCTTTAGCTTTCTTGCCCTCGAGGCAAAATCGTCAAAGTTCTTTACGCTTCCTTTCTTCTCGATCGGCGTCAATTCCCCTGAGGGAGACAACACGAGGCCTTTCCCTTGTCCTCGAGTCGCGGATGGAGAGAATTCTCCAGCGATTAAACGATGACAATCCGAGCGAATAATGTCAGCGGAATTTTCGAGAAAATCAGCTATTTATGGCCAGAAAAAGAAACGCGAGGAAACAAAATTGAAAAGTAAATTAGTTTGATTTAAATTTCATATAATTAACGTGTCGAGAGAATGCATGATCCCATCTCTTTTACATCGACCTTACAAAAAAAAAAAAAAAAATGGCACAAGAGTACCGCTAATGTGTGAATCACCAAGTGGGCAAATTTCTTTCTTCTGTGCGAAAAATTCGCGCGAGGCGGCGTTTCTCTTAAGTGCACTTTCTCGTCGGGAAAATGTTTTTTTCCACAAGCTCAACAATGGCGCTCGCGCGAAATTTTCGCACGTCACATACGTCGTAACGTGGGTCCCGAGAGCGTATAATAAACATACGTACCGTCGCGGTCGCCGCCGTAACGTCATAACGACAACGGAGGTCGTCAATTTACTTTCCATCCATCTCCGCAATTGGTCGGCTATCGTAACAAACCCACCGTCGACGCGATGTTGTTCCTCCTCGCTTCTCTATATTTGTATTCCATCTTTATGCAACGCGCGCACACGAATGTTAAAGCGGACTATTGCGCGCCGCGTAACGTGATTGCTCCGATAATGTAAATATGAACTGCATCGCTGCAGTTCCGCCGCGACGACCTGGATTATTTTCGCGATCCCATTTTAATTGCGAGGTTCGCGGAAGAGAGACAATAATAACCGTGAAAATCCGCTGCTGTTTGCGTCCACGAAGATATCCGTCGCCATTATAATTCCGATTAGTACATACCGAAGAGCCAGCATTGCTGAAAGTAAACTTCTTTTTTATCACCGCTTTCGAAGAAGCCCGATAATCGCAGAAGAAGTCTCTCATCTTCCGTGAATCGCTTCTCCTTGATCTCCGCGATGACAAGCGCATCTCATTGTTTATTACCAGCGATTAAACGTCTATCCGATTGGCCTTCGCCTGATTAACTTTGCTCTCTCGTCAAAAACTCAATCGCCGCTTAAAGACCCGCTTGAGAAACGACGCGTTTCACGTGTCGTCGCATCTTACACGCCGCAATGTCGGTGAAAAATCAACATTAAATAGTTATATTTGCGAGTGAATGAACCAGCCGCAGAAATTTACCATCACAATGGCGACAGACACGTAGACGAAATGTAGGACAGCGCGAGAATGTGTCCGTGTGTGTCGCGCGCGCACACCTGAAAAATACAATTACCGGAATAATTGCTAGGGAATTAGCGTGTGCAAGTGGACGGACGGAGAATATTAACGGGACGCGAAATAATTTAAGCCAGCTTCCCGAGTACGTCCGTATGTCTCGGTAGCGAAAAGCAGATTTTTCTTTTTTTTTCTTTTTTTTTCCTTTTACCTTCTTTGATTCGAGAAATACGATTCATCTCTACGAGACATTCGCGGAATCTCAAGGATGTTCCATCCGCGTTTATCTCTAATGGCGATGCAGGAGCTATGTATATCCGGCATACATCCTCGTCAGCAAATTCTTATGATGTACTCTGCCGATAGCGCGAGCCTCGTTGAGCGTTGGCGCGTTTAAAAACGCCGAGAGACGAGAACGGCATATGGATTCTTATATATCCGTGCCAAGGATAATCGCACGAGTCCCGGCCATGTGGTCCCTCCTCGTGTACGCACGAGGATCCCCTTATCTAACGCTCTCGTAAGGTAAGGCGGATGATTTACGAGTTTGCTGGACCAATCCACCGCACTCTTTCGATCATCGTTGCATACATACACACACACACACACACACACACACACACACACATGCACGCGCACGCGTTTTTTGTGCGTTACATCTCCGTCTTCGGATATGTACGACTATTCGAGTTAAACCTTCGTAAAAAATTACACCGTCAAAATTCTTCTCCCGTTTTATTTGCAAAGATATCGGCGCGCCGGATATTTTCCGAATACTCGAGATATCTGCGACGAAAAGACGGATACTCTCTCCGTTTCCGTTCACCTTTCCACATTACGAATAACAGGTGCACTCCAGCATGCGCGAATTAAACCGTTTATATGCGGATTATGCATTTTAGACTTCTGTTTTAAGCACCCCGTTGTAATCCGGCGCTAATCCGACGCTGCCCGCTTTAGTTGAGCCGCTTTCCGCGCATACGTTTCCGTTCCGTGAAAATCAACTAAATTTGATCCGCATTAGATATCCGCGCATAATATAACGTAACACGGGCAAATACGAGGGCCTAGATTGGCCGTCGATAATAACCTCGGTGCGTTCTAACGCCGATCTCTCGCGCGCAAAAGACAAGATAATTTAAAATCTATATATGTACAGAGAACATAGAGATAATCCTTTCAGCGCAGAGTAATATGTCGATAGCAATGATACATCGTATTTTGCGCGCGGGGCAAGACGAGCTTAAGCCGATATAACTCGGAAATTCCCCAAATTAGACCCAATCTCATTTGCGCGCGACCGGGCAAGGTACGCCAAATTCCCGGAGCTCTTCTGAAATCAAAGTAAATTCCTGCCGAAGCTAACCTGGATTTATACGAGGAGGGAAGAAGGAGAAAGGGCCAATAGGCTTCGTTAAATATGTACATTGGGCTCTCCCGACGTCGATCGAAATTCCGATCTCGACCGATAAACAAGCTTCCGCCGAGAAAAAAAAAAGTGGATTTAGACATTAATAGAAATCTGATTATATGTATCGAACGCTTAGTGTTAATAAATAAAAAAAGAAACATCGCCTCTTTTACTGAATAATAAATATAGCACTTTGGTGTTATGAAATGCCATTTTAAAAATGCACCACCAATTTACTACTGAACGCAGTTAAAAAAAAAAAAAATAAATAAATAAATAAAACATAAAAAGGGAGGAGAAAAAAAAAACGCGGGAATATAGTATCCGTTTTTATGCATCGCGCAGAATTGCGTTTTCGCGACTAAATAAGCAGCATGGTATATCGTAATAGAGACGCGAAACTCTCGTCTTGCGCGCTCTTGCACGAACGCGATTCTACCCCGCGTATTTTACTCCGCATCACGGCGGCATTTCGATCCCCTCCCTCCGCGATTCAATCAAACTTTCGTCGCGAGTCAAAACTCACAATAGTCGCGACAATTCTCTCCGCGAGAATTCCGGATAAGCTCTCTTCGCGCGCGCGCGCGCGCGCGCACCTCGGTGGCACGCGCGGTGACGAAAATCGATCGCGACCAAAGAGCGGCCGCTTCCGAATTTCTGCATCACATACCTGTGAACGACGTTAGCCAGGAGGTCGTTGTGTCGTAATCTGTAATCGACGTCCACCTTTTGGTAGTTGACTGTCAGCGTGCCGGCGCGTATGCATCTCTCGTATTCCTCGGCTGGATGGGCGCGGAATTCCCTCGCGAAGACCTCCAGGATCTTCTCGCCGACCCATCGACCTTTCGTGAATGTCGTGAAAGTGAAGTAATACGGGTATACCTTACGGAGACCTGCAACGCACACAGCGCACCGGGAGACCGGCCGTTAGGACCGATAAGAGAAAACGATAACTCTCTATGATTCCCCCGTATAAGTCGCCTTTAAATGTCACGAGTGCTTAATGGGCTGTATTACGTTACGTTACGTTACGTTACGAAATGTAATGTTGTAACGATGTGCCGTGAGAGCTCTCTTGCAATTAATAAGAGATCAAGCATTCAGGTAGCGTTAAGTAAACGCGCGAGAAATACGAGAATATATATAGGGTGTCTTATATAGATAGAGTATAGACACCGATACTATAATTCATTGTTAAAAAATAAGTATCTTTTCCCTTCCTTTCATTCATTTTTGAATCAATTACATGAAGAAATTTTATTTGAGTTGATATCAAACGAATTGTTGATATCAACTCAAATAAAAGTGTTTATGACAGCGAAATATGCTGTCTGGTGAAGAATTGATAAAATTTCTAACAAAAGTTTTTTCTTTATTAAATTATTCAACGTTACATATTGCAAATATTGTTAATAAAAAAGAAGATGATAATTTTTATAATATTACCGATTAAATTTTTGCGATAAAGACAATATCAAAAATAAGATATTTTGAAAAATATATATTTCCGGAAATATTGACAAAGATGCTTATTTTTGACAAGAAATAGGTAGGTAATACGGTAATACTGAATCACATTAAAGACTTAAAGTTCTTACAATTATTTGCTAATCTATTACCGTCATCGTGTCGCTCCAAGAGCGATCGCTTTTACGAACAAAATTTACGTCAAGATTAACATAAAATCGATCGCATCCTTCTCTTTCGTAGTCTCCGATAAAAGGACAAAGAAGAAGAAGAAGAAAAAGAAGAAAAGGGTATATTTAAATTTCTGGAACATCCTGTTACTCGGATAGCAAATTGACTTGGAAATTCGTACTTTAAACATTCCCTTACGCAACGAATCCACAATATATATATCTCTGTGGATATTTCATTTTTCCTCCCTCATATTAAGTGGAAATTAATCCGTCGAGCCTCCGTTATACCTTCAAACGAGATTCTCGCCCTAAGGGGAAAGTGGAGCGAACGGCAGGTTGATTAATATGCCGGGATAAGAGGAACAATTTTCTCAGTTTTCCCGCGCGAGGAAAGATCCTCCTCGGCGAGAGGTTAATGAAAGATATACAGCGCTTTATAAATTCACGCGTGCCACGTTACTCTCACGCGCGTTTCATAGAATAATCTGATATCCCTAAAAATTATACTCTCGAATACTTATCGCCTCGTGTTGTTCCGCGGTTATATCATTATTCACATCAATATTGGAACAGATAAAATCTAACGATATGAAGGAGAATGTTCCTTAAGTCGTTACAATTTAAGAGAAATACTCGTGAAAATTTTACGACACTGAAATGACTTCTGTCATTGTCGCCGATCGCCCGGAGGGTAGTTTCCCCATTTCAAATACAAGTCTTACTTAGACGAGTCCTTCGCTTTGGCACTCGTGTCGAGCGATTCCCCCGTTGTTTCCCAGCCAACGGAAGAAGAACATAAATACCGAGGGGAGGCTTGATTAATGTCCCGTCGCGCGTCCAGTCGAGTCAAAGGCACTTTTTTCCGATTTTGTACCGCTAGAACACGTCGTTTAAGAAACAATCCTCCCCGTAGGGAATTAATGAACGTCTGACATTTAAAATGAAAAAAAAGCGTAGAATTACTCGACGCTTTATATTGCAGTATAAACGTTGCATTAAAAAAAAAAAAAAAAAAAGATATTATTTTTATCAAACTCTATGTATTTTTCTCGACGAAGAGAATCGTATTATCATGAGTTTTAACGTATATATATCTCTCCCTTTCTCTGAAGGTAAGAATAAATTTATTCCAGCCAGAGTCGAGTACTTGCGGGAACAGAAATAACGGAAGCATGATCGTTATACAAAGACTTTTCGAGTGGTCGACGAAGGAAAATTGGTAGCGGAGAGCAAAAACACATTCGTGTCAAAGGAACCGCACGCGCGGTTCACGTTTGCAGGAAAAGTCGGAGATAAGCCGGTAAGAGCTGACCTGTGTAAGATCGAAGCGGAACGACGGAGGAGATCCGCTTCGGATAAACAGAAACAGTTCGCGAAGAAAAGGATCCACCGCTTTTCCCTCCTCGCACACTTCACTCGTTACTTTAATTAAATTGCCCTCGACACGCCGAAACACGTCGACAACGGTACTCGCGTACTATTCTTCGCCAGAACAAGAGGAAGGTCATTTGACAATCGAGATGTCTCGAAAGAAGTAGCCGCGCACAACTGAGGAAACGATTGATCTCTCTTGAGCTTTCAGAAATAGAACTGTCGGGACGCGGTCGGTTAGCCAAGAGCTTTTCGAGAAGCGGAAGGTAATCGTCTTCAAGCATAAGGGGAGGAAAAGGAACATGATCGTGAAAGAGGAGAAAAAGAGGGAGGCAGAAGCGCAAGAAAAAAAAAGGATAGCGAGCAAAAGAGAAAGGAAAAAAGATTAAACGGCCTGCTTTATATATCGTAAGGGTCGAAAACTTCCTCTCGACATCGTCGAAAAGATACATCACCTTCAGCGAGAAATTCGTATTATGTAGATTCATGTCTCAGAAATCTGTATCGTATCCAATTGCAATATAAAAATTTACTGACGCATATACATATTTCTTTTCTTTGTATAATCACAATGAGAAAGAAATTCAATTAACGAGATCATAATATTAACGGATGGTTCGACGGTGTCGCAATTGACCGTAAAGTCCGTCTTTCCCTCGGTTCGTTTATTTTCCAGACGACGGCGGATTCTGTCGAATCGACCGCGATCGTGGCTTAAAGTAATTACGATGCTATTACACCACCAATGGGACACGACCGCCTTGCTCATTGCAGCGGACCAGTAATTGCCCCCGATGTCGAGGTTGTTCCCGGGGCCCCCAACATCATACCGTATACTTTCCTGCTCCCTTTGTTTCTCCTCCCCTCCCTTCCTTCTCCATCCCTCCGAGCAACCCCGCGCGTCTTACCATTTTATTCCGTAACATCATCCGGATTCCACGCTCTCGGTTTCTCTTCGTCGATACTCGAGCACGGAAAATCCGTCCCGCTACGCCCATGGAATTTCACCACGGAAATCTTTTTCCCTCGTCGATCCCGAGATATCCCAAGCTCTCGCATTGTCGACATAAGATGTACATAGAAGTTGATTTTCGACCCGGAAGGATCGAAACGTCTGATGCAAGCTCGTAATTTGAAAGGAAAGCTCTTTTTTTCCTCGAGAACTTTGAAATGCATAAACGCAAAGCTAAAATCGTGTTCTATATGACTGGTATTTTACTCAATATCTTTTTAATAGTATCTTCTTTAATATTTGATACTCCAGCCAATTTCGAGTTAAATTTTAATAGAATTAATCATTAAGATATTCGATGTTGAGGAATAAAAGAAATAAATGACGAATATGTGAGATAGAGATTATACGTATAGTTAATCATATTAAAATCCATTTCAGATTTAGTTCAGAATAAAAAAGCTCCGCTCGGTGCTTTATTTTTTTTTTACTTTATTTTTACTTTATTTTTTTCTGATATATTTTTAGATAATTTATTTAAGTTAGCACCAAAAATTAAATCCATCTCGAATTTCCTTTGGAATAATATCCCGTGTTATAATTTTAATTCAAACTCCGACCTAATATTAAGCTCTATCGTGTCAAAGGAGCCGTACTAATTTTGTACAAAACAGAGTGATTCCCGGTATCGATTATCGGCCGTGCCTTCGGAAAGTCGGGAGGGAACAAAGCTGCCGTCGTCGTCGTCGTGAGTCACCTCACGAGGGTTACTCGAGAGGAGGCAGCCCGAAGGGGTAACCCAAAGCCCTTACATCTCGCCCGTTTGGAATGACGCCTTGTTTTACGAGTAGTAAACCAATGGCGGTGTCGTCGTGCGGGCTGCTTTGGGTTTCATTCGCTATCGATCGTTCGTACACAACACATGTGCTTATGTACGCACCGCCGCTTTTACAGCGGGAGTAAATATCATCCCACCCGAGTTGCAACTCGGCTCGGCATTTTTCCGCTGCTTTTTTTCTCTTTGTTCGAATATTTTGCATAGATGACTGCGATAAGGCGACGCTCCCTCTTATGTTTTCTTTATTAAATTGTATATTCGTAATATACATAATATTTTTTCTCTCGTATACAAGTTTGTAGATAATACTAAACTGTAAATATAATTATATGTTTAAATATCTAATTATTAATTAGAATGCAAAAGATTGTATGAGTAAGCGTGTTTAATCCTTTTAGAAAGTAATTAAATTCTTTTTTGTTACAATTTTAATAATATATAATGGTATCCTCAGATGCTTAGCATCGATCTTCTAATTTACGTGATCAACTAGCCGATAAAATTTATTTATCCTCCGCGTAGATTTTATTTATTTAACTATTATTGCGTGAGTAATTCACGGCCAGAAACACGATCGAAAGACCTCATGCCCGAAGGTCCTACGGGAGAAATCCAGTGAAAATAATCGTCCGTTCCTGTAAAATTCATGAGCGGTGCGATGTGAGCGGCAGCTGGGTATCACTAAATATTTGACAACGAATTTTATTGAGGAGTTGCCGTAAATACCAATTCTCTCTCTATCTCTCTCTCGCTGAAAAACTTTTTTACTTAATAATCTTATACGATCTAAATGTAGAATTCTGTGCACTATACGCGTTATTGTATTTCCGATATCCGCCGTCAAATTCATTCATTGAGTGAAAACACAAGCCGCAGCAAATGTGTTACATATATATGTAAACATAAAGAATCCTCAAATGATTATCACAGAATATAATATACGCTCATAATATATGCTTCAACGCGCGCTGAAAGATTTTTTTATTCTTAAAGGGCCGCGTATATTTTTTTTTTAATTAGTGATATATAAATTCTCGCAGGAGAAAAAAAGGAAAGAAACTTGCTATAAAATTAGCCTTTTTATAAAACGTC